ATATATATATATATATATATATATGTGGCAACCGATTCTCTGTGTTTAATATCTCCGTTTATACTGTTTAAATGCTTGAATTAAATGAGATAAATGCATTAAGAGCGAACCTTGATTAAAATTAACATTATAAAGTTAGCGGCGCGTTATAAACGGTATCATCGGATAAACCGCATCGTGAATCTACGCATGCCGTCGCAGTTAATTGCATTATATGAAGTCAGGATTTTCGCCTAGTTACGCGCGTGTGACGCCGCTAACCTTATCCCGTTGCCGATCTTCCCCGGATCGTAAACCCAATCCGTAACCATTAGATTAGAGCGGGATCCATGAAATTTGGCGTTGACTTTGACATCACGTGCAACGATGTACCTAAACTTCCGCGTTTAGAGATACTCGCTTATCCTAATATACCACTCACGTTGACGCATGCGAACGTTACGAGGATCTATGAATCTCTCTCGCAGGCGCCGCGCTTGTATCGCACAGGATGCTTTTGTGATAGCGCCTAGATTTTTGCGTGCGATAACGCTAATCGAAACTATAAGATATAGAATACAAACAAAGAAAAATAGATCACGGAGTGAAAAATTTTCAAGATGAAGTTATTCCACATGTTTGCAGCCTTCTCTAAGGAATAATTGGACGCTGCTATTGATATATTACTTTTAGACAAAAATTATAATAAGATTTCGATAAATAAATTAGATTAGTTAAATGGATATTTTATAGATATTAATAGATTAGAGAAAACCATGCTTTGTATATTTGATCGTGCTTTCAAAATCTTGTTTATTTGCCGGAGATTAACTCTATGATCGTGGATAGTTTATACGAATGCCGTCAGATAGGCAGGATTTGTATCTGCATTCGGTAGATTTAATTGATCAGATTCACCTGTGTGAAAGATATTATGCGGTCAGCGGCGCGGTGGATTTGCCTCTAAATCAAATTCCCTTTTGACGCTGTTGGCGAAATGCCTCGTTAATTAGTACGTATTCTCCCTGGGCCTTTTCATTCGCTCCGCTCTGTTCGATTTTACCGTGAATGATTCGCAAGCGCGTGAACGAAAGCCGGCGCGCGGACGCGGCGCAACCTCGTCCGCCATATCCCCGTCCCTCCCCCGTTTCCCTCCCTTCCCGCCGGTGCTTCGAAGCAGAAAAGCTTGGGCAATGGAATCGCTAATCTGACGATAAACACATCCGGGCCGCCCGGAGTTCCGGTTGTTTGCGTAACAACAATAAACCCGCGAACGTTGCGCATCTGGCTGCGAAGATACGCGAGCTCGCGTACGTCATTATTTACGTAGTTGGTACACCAATTTTTTTGGGGGAGGAGGATAGTAGGGATGGCAGTCGCGTCGTATAAAACTAGACGTTTTTAAACGAACGAGCGCGGTCGGTACGATAGCTTATATCTCGCACAAAATGCAAAATGCAATAGGATTGCAGGCCTGATTTGCGAAATGCCGCTTGCGTTTCAGTCTCTCGTTTTACTATTTTCATTTATTTCGACCAAACACAGCATTTAAAAAGCAGATCGATTGCAGATAGATCCGCAAATCTGTGATTTACCACTTTGCTATCGGAATCGATCGTTACCGTGAGATATTTGCTCGTAAAGAGAACGGTGTCAATGTTAATCCAGAACTGCGCGCCACGGATGAATTTAATAGACCAAACGATCGACTGATTGCGTCGCTATCAGCGCGAAATTAACGAGGAGCTCTCCCGCATCAGATGCAGGTAAATATGCATACGTGTGTTTGGCAGCAACCATAATGCATTTCGCGTATCATGCGAATGGATAATTTGGCCCGTGTGTCTATTAGTTATGGTAACTATTCGCGAGATTCCTAATCCAGTTCCGAGTTTGCCTTCGATCGTAGTTACGTACCGCGGTCGCGAAGGACGGGGCGCATAGGTGAAGCGGTGAGTTGCAGTTGCGACGAACTTTGAAATGCCATCTGTCCCGCAAAGCGTCGTACCCGCGCTCCTCGTACATTGCGAATTCTGTGCTCCATCCGCTGCAGTTGAACGATTATCGCGAGAGATAAAAGCAAAGATCACTTTTCTGTGCACGTGAACAAGGCACTATGAACTCATCGAAATTATTTTAGCTTCACCTCCCGCCCGCGAGATTAATGCGGACGAGGAGAGACACACCTTTTCCCGACTTG